GAGAATATAAGTCTGTTTCTATATAATAATGCAAGAGTGTCAGCAGGATGTAGAGAAACTGATTATTTATATCTTAAAATAGAAGACTTTGTCAATGATTATATCAATATAGAGTTAATTCTCAAATTCAATAGAAATCTAGTGTTGCTGTTCTCAATCTCTTGCAGAATCTATTGAATATTGAGATATTAAAACTAGATTTAATATATCTCACTGTGCAGGGATCAAAGGCTCAGTCAGATCTTGAAATATACTGATTTTATAGTTGTTATGTCTGCTGATTATGTATCAAGTACAGTTACTGAGATATCTTTTTATACTTTTCTGTCAGGGATGGGCCCAGATTGAGAGGGGTGGTACAAGGGTGAGACTTGATATTAATGTCTAGATATACTGAAGACAGACTGCAGAGATTGCACTTCAGAAGTGGCTGTTGATTATGTGCTTGATATTATCACTGAGGTATCTTTTTGTATTTTTCTGCTGGGGATGGGCCAGATTAGGAAGGGCGGTACGAGGGTGGGACTTGGCATTGATGTTTTGGAACATCAAAGATGGACAGGGTTTTCGCGGAGGTCACTCCTCAGATATCTCCACAACTACAGATCGGGGATCTTCCAAAATCGAGAAGATTGGTGCATATGGCTAGGTCTCTTCACCTTACAATTTGTATGGCAATTTGGCCCGGGGTTGTGGTGTGGTAGGGGAGAATGGGGGATAATCCCACACAGGAGTTTCGAACAACGTCTGGTTCACGTTTGGCTGGATAACTCCACCACCACACGGGGTATGCGGTCGGCGATGGGGTCAAAATGCTCGTATGATCGAGGGCTTTTGAGAAGAAGTTCATCTTACAGTGATTCAGAATTCTTATTATTCTTCTTTTACAACTTGATACTGTAATCTACTTCTAAGTCTTATAAGAGAGATAGATTTATAACATTATCTTATCAGAAGACATTTAAATATTCATAATATTGTTAAGAGAGTTTTATATGAGAATTTATTATTATAATGTAAGATAACTTCTCTAGAGCTTTTTAAATATTGATCAGACTGATGAAGTAGATTGCTATATAATTTTACTATCAGTAATTTTATCAGTGACTTCATTAGAAGTTCTTTCAGAGTATTTTATAAGTGTTAACAGAGATCTGTGTCAGATTTATAGTCTTGTGAACATTATTCTCATGAACTTAATTATTATTGAGAAATATTAAATTTCTGTTCTTGTAAGAAATCCCGCTTCTCGCGGATTCTTTATCTCTATTTCTATCTCTTGTGTAATCAATAGAGTTAGCGGCCCTTGGCTACACACAAGTGACACAACTATATAGACTGAAGTTTGTGAATACTATTCATAACTCAGCTTGAATACTATTATACATTTAATCTCTACATTTTATCTTTCTATTATGAATACTTCTAGTAGTTCACAGTATATATTATGTCAAGCTGTAAATATCTGAATAATCATCTGTAAGTACTTATTCTTATATTTCAAGCTCTGTCAGTCAGCAACTGTCTGTTATAACTCAAAGAACTAGAAACTTATATACTTTAATCTCTGTAAATTCTACTGTAGATACTCAGAAGTAGTCACTCAAATCATGAATAACTCTTATAAAAGAAGTCTCAGAGAACTTATCAATCATTCACAGAACATTATTCTCTATATCTGTGACAGAAAAATTCTTTAAATCAATGAATAAATCAATCTCAGTAAAGAATATTCTTAAGCATCTCTTATAAAATCAAGCTATTTTTCTATAAGAAATGCTTACTGTCTGTAAACACTCTCAAACTGAGTCTCTAGACATAATCTTCAGAAATATCTATAAACTGAAAAGAAACTTTCTTAAGCTATAACTACTTAAGATTAACTACTGAATTACAATCTATAGAAGCTTTTACAAGTTTGTATTCAAAATTGACTCACAAGCTCAGCTGTGTGATATAAAAGATGAAGAAACTATTATTTATATAATAACAGATCTCTACTACACTGAAGTTAAGAACTGACTGAATTATCTAGAGAATGATTATAAAAGATCTCACTGATATATTCTTAAGATTTATCTAGAGAATAAGTTAAAAGACTCTGTAAGCTGAATAGAGAATATTTAAGCTGTGATCATTAATATTAGAAAAACAGGTGAGAAATCTGATAAAGACTACTTACAGTACTTTATAAAATTATAATATAAATTGAGATCTATGAAAATAGAGCTCTGAAACAAGATCTGAATAATGATATTTATAAAGAGACTGAATAAAGATATATAGAATAAGCTTATTAAATAAGACTCTAAGTTCTTAACTCTGAAGAAATTAATAACTCTCATTCACTGCTTACAGATCACTGTGAGAGTCACAGATCTGTGAAGAGTGAATTATTAACTAGTCTTATAAGAGCTAGAACAACAGAGAACAGATTTATTAAGAAAAGATAATAAGATATAGAGAGATTCATATCTGATTACTAAGCAGAGAGAGAGAGTTTTATAAACTTCTATAAATAGAGTATATAATAGAAAGATTAAGAAAAAGAGTCTCTATTTTATCTGTTTTAAATTAGAATATCTTTATACAAACTATCTGAATAAATTAAAATAAAAATTTAAGAAGTTACAGATAGAGTCAGTAACAGTCTTCTTAAGAATTTTAAAACTGATATCTGAATCTGTTACTCTCTTAATGAAAATGTATATTTATAAGAGAATATAACACTGCAGTACTACTACTCTGTAAGTATGAAAAGTATTAATAAACTCAGAATCTCAGATCACTGTAGTGTTTTTAAAGCTCACAGAGTGAATAAGCTAAGTGATAAAAACTGAGAATCTGCTCTTATAATAAGCAGAGTGTGAGAACTCAGATCTGAGAGCTGAGAAACTTATAAGAGCTATTTTTAAATTACAAGATCTCTCTGAAATCTGAAGAAGATTTGCAGAAACTGTGATTATCACAGATATTACAGATAATATATACTTAAAACTTACTTAACTTTAAAGACACAATCTGTATATAACTGTCTGTGAGTCAGGTTTATACTTCTGATCAGTGTTAACAGACTCACTCACAGAGATAGAATTAGTTATTATTATTATTATTATTATTCTTCAATTATAGATGTATGCAGTCAGAGACTATGACATCTACCTGAGAACTTTTAGTTCTCAGGGTTTTTCCTATATCTGTAAAGTTAACTATTATACATTCATCAATTTCAGATATGCAAAATCAGAAAATTCCAGCCCAGAATACAAAAACCATTTACAAATTGCAGTGTTTTAACATCTTCTGATACTTTGAAACCATTTGAAGATAGAATTAGTTAATACTGTAGAGTTGATTAGAGAAGATAAGCTTATCTATATAATAACTTTATAAATGTCTGAGAACTTCACAGTTATAAAAACTGAGCTTCAGATATCAGAGAAATACTGAGATTTCACAGAGATATTCAGCTCAGTAAAGACAGCTAAGCTTTCATCTCACTATAAGAAGAATCTGATAATAGATTTAATAGAAGAGTAGAAACTCTTTTAAGAATTAATCAATAAGCTCTCTTATTATAAGACAGAGATCTTACAGACTTATATAAAGAAGAATCTGAAGAATAACTTTATTCAATCTTTACAGAT